AACTACTAATATAGGCAATTTACTAACACAGACACTGAACTACTAATATAGGCAATTTACTAACACAGACACTGAACTACTAATATAGGCAATTTACTAACACAGACACTGAACTACTAATATAGGCAATTTACTAACACAGACACTGAACTACTAATATAGGCAATTTACTAACACAGACACTGAACTACTAATATAGGCAATTTACTAACACAGAACACTGTACTGACAGAGACACTGAACTACCAATATAGGCAATTTACTAACACAGAACACTGTACTGACAGAGACACTGAACTACTAATATAGGCAATTTACTAACACAGAACACTGTACTGACAGAGACACTGAACTACTAACACAGAACACTGTACAAACACAGCTGCACTAATGTAGATACTGCACTAATGTAGATACTGCACTAATGTAGATACTGCACTAATGTAGATACTGCACTAATGTAGATACTGCACTAATGTAGATACTGCACTAATGTAGATACTGCACTAATGTAGATACTGCACTAATGCAGATACTGAATTCATGCAGATACTGCCTTCATGCGGATACTGTAATAATGCAGATACTGTACCAATAAAGATACTGTACCAATACAGATACTGTACCAATGCAGATACTGTACCAATGTAGATACTGTACTAATGCAGATACTGTACTAATGCAGATAGTGTACTAATGCAGATAGTGTACTAATGTAGATACTGTACTAATGTAGATAGTGTACCAATGTAGATAGTGTACTAATGTAGATAGTTTACTAATGTAGATAGTGTACTAATGCAGATACTGTACTAATGTAGATAGTGTACTAATGCAGATACTGTACTAATGTAGATAGTGTACTAATGTAGATACTGTACTAATGTAGATAGTTTACTAATGTAGATAGTGTACTAATGCAGATACTGTACTAATGTAGATAGTGTACTAATGTAGATAGTGTACCAATGAAGATAGTGTACTAATGTAGTTACTGTACTAATGTAGTTACTGTACTAATGTAGATAGTGTACTAATGTAGATACTGTATTAATGTAGATAGTGTACTAATGTAGATATAACAGTAACACAGACACTGCACTAACAAAGACACTGACCTAAAACAGACACTGCACTAACAAAGACACTGACCTAAAACAGACACTATACTGAAATAGACACTGCTCTAAGAGACACTGTATTAACAAAGACACTGTTAAAACATAGACATTGCACTAATACAGACATTGCACTAACATTGACATTGCACTAATATAGACATTGTACTAACATATACATTACACTAAAACAGACATTGTACTAACACAGACACAGCACTAATACAGACATTGCACTAAAATTGACATTGCACTAACACAGACATTGCACTAACACAGACATTGTACTAACACAGACATTGTACTAACACAGACATTGCACTAACACAGACATTGTACTAACACAGACATTGCACTAACACAGACATTGTACTAACACAGACATTGTACTAACACAGACATTGCACTAACACAGACATTGTACTAACACAGACATTGCACTAACACAGACATTGTACTAACACAGACATTGTACTAACACAGACATTGCACTAACACAGACATTGTACTAACACAGACATTGCACTAACACAGACATAGCACTAATATAGACATTGTACTAACACAGACATTGCACTAATACAGACATAGCACTAATATAGACATTGAACTAACAAACATAGACATTGCACTAATAAAGACACTGCACTAATATAGACATTGCACTAATATAGACATTGCACTAATATAGACATTGCACTAATATAGACATTGTACTAATATAGACATTGCACTAATAAAGACACTGCACTAATATAGACATTGCACTAATAAAGACATTGCACTAATATAGACATTGCACTAATATAGACATTGTACTAATATAGACATTGTACTAATATAGACATTGCACTAATATAGACATTGCACTAATATAGACATTTCACTAATATAGACATTGCACTAATATAGACATTGCACTAATATAGACATTGCACTAATATAGACATTGCACTAATATAGACATTGCACTAATATAGACATTGAACTAACAAACATAGACATTGCACTAATATAGACATTGCACTAATATAGACATTGAACTAACAAACATAGACATTGCACTAATATAGACATTGCACTAATATAGACATTGCACTAATATAGACATTGCACTAATATAGACATTGCACTAATATAGACATTGCACTAATATAGACATTGCACTAATATAGACATTGCACTAATATAGACATTGCACTAATATAGACATTGCACTAATATAGACATTGCACTAATATAGACATTGCACTAACACAGACATTGCACTAATAGAGACATTGCACTATCACAGACATGGCCCTACCAAGGACGCTCACAAACACAGTTCTGTATTATCATCAATATTAAAGTGAGCTAAAAATACCAACATAATGAAGAGGATAAAACACTAATCTAATTTGAAAGAAAGCTATGGCAAACTACTGAACATAAATTTTCCTGGAAAAACCACAACCGAGAAAAAATGATGGCATTGGTTCTGCAATGTCCTGTAAAGGATATGCAACTGACTCATATAAAAGATTAAGGTGACACATTAACAATGACCAAGTGGACAAAATAAAATATGGAGATTAATCTATATATATATATATATATATATATATATATATATACACCATCAAAATAAAAATCCATGTGTCTGCACTTGTGTCTGTCTGCACATGTGTCTGTCTGTACACGTGTCTGTCTACCAAAATCTACCCTCAAACAGAGATCAGCAGAAGGGTAAATGCCAATCTGGCTACAATGTCAAGGTTAACTGTTCCATTATAACAAATCTATATGCATTACTAATAGTTACTGCAATAATCAGTAAAAGTTAACATTTGCTGAAGTTATATCCCTTGAGCACATCACATTTTCTTATGCCCGTTGAAAAAAAGTTATATTTCACCGTTATCTCCTTTCCCTTCATACTAAAAGTCTGTTCAATGTATTCTTTAAGCAGTGAGATAAGAACCACAAAAACACTCTGTTTGTTGTTTGTAGTTTGCCCCCTGCCGGATTGTATTCTGCAGAATTACCACTTCAAGGATGAAAATCCTACATGTAAAACCCAAGTTATTTTGGGGCCTCCGAGAGCTACGATGTAATCTGAAGTCTGGACCGGGCACTGGGATAACTAAAACGTTGTGGCTGGACCAGTGTTTCCCAACATGGGAATTTGTCATGGGCTGCTGTAGCTGCTTAGGTCACATATGTGAGGCTCCGCTTGATCCCTTTGTTCACCATCGCCTAAACATACGGTATATAGTCATGTCTTCAAATGATTACTACAATTAGTTATCTTCTATACTATTCTTAAGACAGAATAATGGTATTCCATTTGACTTTAAATAAACCCCCCCCCCTCCCCCCCCCCCTATGCACAATGTGACTACTTCTTCTTTTCTCTACTCCTGGATTGCCTCACGGCATCTGATCAAGAAAAGATCTCTGGAACGGGCCCTTCTGTTTGCTTCGTGTATTGTACTTTTTAGTGTCTTTGATATTTCTGCAGTCCATCTTCTGCGTGGTCGACCTCTGGGTCTGTATAACACTGCTCTCTGTGGTGCTTTGTCTGTTACCAATCTTGTTACATGGCCAAACCATTTGATCTATTGTCTACCTATAAAGATCAGTATTGGTTCTGAGCTGACTCTCCTCCTGATATCATCATTCCTAAGTCGGTCTTTCCTCGTTATACCTTGCAAAGTAAGTAAACATTTTATTTCTGTTATGACTATTCTCCTTCTGTTTTCTGAAGACAGTGTCCAGATAATATGACAAAACACACAATACATGTATCAGTCATGTACATTAGGTTCTAATAATCCCGTAGTGTAGTGATTATCAAATCTGCCTAATATGTGAAAAGTCTTGGGTTCAATCTCCAGCTGTTTCAGTTTCACTGTTCTTGTGGCACTTTCCGCAACAGATGGTCAAAGTCTTTGGATGCTACGGCTTCGCATTGTTCAGGCGTGCTGGGGCAGTTGAGGGCACTGTATATGGCGATCGCAAGGCTCTTGTTGTGCTCACTCCTTCGAGTAGTTTCTAAAACATTTATGATGGCGGTGGAGACAAAGATGAAGTATATGACAGGAGAATTCCCTGTGTGGATTCCGGGGCCCTATTATAGGGAAAACAAGAATAGACCCACTGCCTACCCCAAAAGCATGTGGTAAGAGTGGACTAATTGGGAGCTTCCTTCGAAGTCGGAGTGCATCTGCCTGGCAGGCAAGGAACCAACAGACTGCATACAAATGTGTCAGATCCGTCAAACGGATGCACACACAAAACTCAGATTCTGGAACAGGACTGCAGTCCAGAAGTGGACGAACAACCAGAACTTTCCACCAGAGTTTACAGCTGTTGAAAGCAAAGAAGAAAGAAGATGACAGGAGAATAATATTTTCTGTCACTATCCCAAATTCAGCCTGGCAATACAATTTAGTATGAAGATAAAACACTGTCATCAACTAAATGAATGAGATTAAATACTGAGATCAACCAACCCGAAGAATAAGACAACAAACTGACAAGCAAATGTGCAAGATAAAATACTTACATCAACCAAATAAAAGAATAAGATAAAATATTGACATCAAGCAAAACAAACAAGGCCAGGTGCCATCTCCTCAACAAAGGCTGGCTATTGTAAATCATCAACACACGCTGTCTCTGGTCCTGGATGTACGCTCTCTCAGACCGCTGTTTATTTATTGCTTGATGTAATCCTCCCACTTGTATCACTCACTGCCTTTAGCTTGCTGGATTTAAACTTTTCCCTGTTGTATAGATTTTATAAGAGCCCTTTCTTAAGAGAAAATTAGATGATCACAGCTATCAATGTGAATCAAATGGGAATGGTTGGGGGACAAACAAGCAGACATTACTCACCTTTCTGATAATATTTAGAATTATGTGTCCACCGGAAACCTGTACATAGACCAAAATCGGTCAATTTGATGTGTCCATCTTTGTCAATAAGGATATTGTCTGGCTTAATATCACGATGGATGAAACCCATCTTATGCACACTTTCAATCGCCAAGACCAGCTCCGCAATGTAAAACTGCGCCAAATGCTCCTCAAGGATCTCCTTGCGAATCAACAAACCCATGAGGTCCCCACCTGGAACGTAATCCATCACAAAATACAGACAATCCCGATCCTGGAAGGAGTAGTACAGTTTCACTACCCACTCATTGTCAGCCTCGGCCAGGATGTCCCTCTCGGCCTTCACGTGCGCCACCTGGTTCCGTTTGATCACATTTGATTTCACTAAAGTTTTCATAGCGTACAAAGACCCCACATCCTTTTTGCGGACTAGTGCCACCTCCCCGAATGCTCCGACACCCAATGTTTGAATTTTATCAAACATAGAAGAATCCATTTTGGCACGTTTTAAGCGGAGGTAATTAGATTCCTTCTGATACAACATTTTCCGCATCTGCTGCGCCGCCTCATCTGAGAGTTTCACTTTAGTCATTTCCTTCTCCAACTGCAGTCTCCTGGTCATCCTCTGAGCATGGGACTTGAGAACATTCTCAACATGCTGCTCCATGTAAAATTTGAATGCCTGCGGAGAGTAGACCTTCACTTTAGTGTCACAGCGTAATCTGTCCCTTTCACGAGCTTCAGACTTCCGTTCTGGAAGAGGCGATAAACAACGATGTTTCTCTTGCGCCAGGCATGTTGAACACTTAGTTGACGTAGAACTGTGACCTTGACCTGTGTCAGTCTCATCTGTTTCTGTCTGAGGCATGTTGCTGACCACCTGAGGGTTGATTAAGTGTGAACATTTGCCAGTTGGAGCACTCACTGTGTTGATATCAGTCTGCTGTGTTGCGTCATTAATATTTGAATGCAAAGATATGGCACCATTTTGTAAAGAAACAGGCACAGTGTTGCAGCTGCTAGTTAGAGGTGACGATGGTGAGGAGGAAGAAGAATTCAGTGACGGAGGCAAAACTGTCCCATTTGAAGGTGGAAAATGTAATGTGTGTGATGGACCACCAAGTTGGTTTGCTTGTCCATGATCACTATGTGGAGGGGGAGGCGGTGGAGGTTTATCTTTCAGTGGAATACGAGGGGGTAGGAGAGGAGGATTTAAGTTTGAAATGGGACCCATGCCAACCACACCACGGCGAGGATATGGAGGTGGGGGCTTGTCCGGGACGTCAGAATTTGTTGATGGCGAAGAAGTTGAGGACAGAACTGACATGGGCGACTGGTTTGTGGTTCTGGATACAGGGGAGTCTGAGCGTGAAGTGGATGAGGCAGCATCAGGGGAAAACTGCTGGTATATGGCTGTGTTGTGGAGCTTCATGGCCTGTATGTGGTTGTGGAAGAGTGCACTTTGCTGCTGCTGTTGAGATGCTACTGATGACTGACCCCCGGCTAGAGCTGCCAGCTGCTCCATCGTGTAGTTCCCTCCATTCCGACCAATCTGCAGACCCTGCTGGTAGGAATGTGAGATGGGAATCTGAAAGTCTTGCCCAGGTGGACCCCCACGCGGCAGTTGTCCACTGCCCACCATCTGCTGGTTTTGTTTGGGCTGGTGCTGATTCGGCAGAGAGGACATATTGTTAATGTGGCTTTTTACTGGTGGAATATTATTAGAGAGAATGCCACCGTTGATATTAACATTATGAGGTGGCATCAATGGTGCAGTAGCAGTTTGGGGCAGAGGTTTAGTAACTTCTTTACTGCGAACTGAAGGCATAATCACCGGCATGTGTAAGCCCATGGTCAAGCGTGTGGCTGCAACTGCGGCAGGAGTAACCATTTTCTTGTGAATCATCTGTGATGCCTCTGTACTAGCTGGCATCGCTGACACCTCCATCACTGGAGGAACACTGTGGGCCTCCTGCTGTTCTCTGTGAGCAGGATGTGGAACTCCTCCACTGGATCCACCGTTCACACCTGTGACCTGGAGGCAAGCCTGGCTGTAGGGCGGGGGTGGCAGCTGTGCTTGTCCTTCAGGCTGTACAGAAAAAACAGATGTTGTGTAGGCAGCAGGCGTAGAACTAGAGGATGAACTAGGTATGTGAGCTCCCAGGACCAGATCGTGTAGTTGATGGGACAGAAGTGTGTTGGGGCTAGAACTAGCAGCAGTGCCAGAGTTCATGCTATTGAACTGCTGCTGAGCACTGACCGCAGCGGCTAGGCTGATAGCTGGTTGGGTACTAGGAACGTTTTGTGCCGGAGTCTGAGACTGCTGTTTCTGCTGAATGTGATAGTAGGCTTGCCCCGGGGACATCCGCTGGATCATCTGCTGGACGTGACCTTGAGGTATGATGTTGTTCTGATGGACCAGCATTCCCGCCTGTGCCCCGTTTGCTGTCTGACCTTTGACCTGGTTCAAGGTCTGCAACAGTGTAGCACCAGGACCACAAAGAGGCTGCAGATGTGAAAATCAAGGACATTTAAAAAGAAAATTACTGACTGTGAATCTTTGATTAACTATGACAGCTTCATGTCAGTGCTTTCATTATGGCCATGTTTGTTTCCCTTCTCTGCAGAAACACAAGTGCTTGTTCTATCTTTAGTAACATAAGTAGTTTGCTTCATTTCCAATGACACAAATTCTCTTCCGCTCTCTTTTTCTTTGTTCACCGGCTGTAAGCTCCGGAGCACTTGTTCGTCGATTTGGACTTTGGCTTTATGCCAGATCCTGAGTTGTGTGTGCACATCTGTTTTACAGGCTTTTTTGTGTGCATCTGGTTGTTCCTTGCTGCTCGTGCAGATGCACTCAGACTTCAAAGGAAGCTCTCAATTAGACCAACCTATCAGATTCTTGTTGGGGAGGTAGAGGGTCACAATGGAGCCCACAAAGGGACTCTTGTTTTCTATCTCCAGTAATGAAAGATCTTGTTTATTCTTCTTCGTCGACTTCTTCTGCATTTAAAGGAGCGGTTGGCATGCTGTGTTGTGGTTCACAGCTAGGCTACATCAGTAGCTGTACCTTTCAGCTGAGCACATCTGATTTCAGCAAAACCTTAACTGTCACCTAGTATGGTAAGCTTCTGATAACCAGGTCACCCGGAAACCCTTTGGGCAAAAAATGGCACAGAACTTAGGAATTCTACCCCCCCCCCCCCCCCCCCAAATAAAATCATTTAAAAACTACCATTAGACCATCTATACAGACGGGTCTGTGTTGAGGGGCAGACAAAGTGCATGGGGGTTAATAATGAAGGCGAATGAACGTCGCTTGGTGCAACAAAACCTGGCATATGATATCACAACATCTAGTTTGAGAATGGAGGTGGAGGCAGTCACTGCTGCCTTTCGCTGGCTTGAGAATCAGCTGTACACACATGCTATCATTGTAACTGACTTAAAGAGCTTTTCGAGAAAGGTGGAGACAAGTATGCTCCATGCAGAGTGGCACGCATCACTTTAAAGGTCCCGGGTAGTTAGCAACCTTTGGATATTGTCTCCACGTTATGCCAGTGTGTTGGTAATAATTCTGTAACAGACTGTTAATTTAGTTTGAAAAAAAAAAATGTTAAGCATACGAGAGAAAGTAATCAATAAACGGAATAGAGTGAAGAATTACATTCCCTTGACTATTGGGGACTCATACCACCATCCTGTTGGCATGCTACTGGTTAAGGCTAAGGCTAAATTATGATGTAATAATTCCCCAAATTTTAAGCAAATATAATCATGCCTGGGCCTCCGAAACTATTAACTAAGCTTGTCAGGGGCAGACAACTGCAACAATGCCCCTTTTGTAGCACTTACAAATATGTAATGGACACCAATACAGGATCAGCGGCACCGACACCCTCAAGGGTTGAGGGGCAGTGGGTCTTTTTTCTCCCCAAAATGGACACTGGTAGCCCCAGAAAAAAGGGGAGGGGGGTGTTAAAGGCTAATTAGAACTGACCTTCGATGCAGAGATAACATTTAATAAATATTAACTTAGAGTAACAACAATGAAAATGTACCTGTTGGCTGGTTCCATTAGCTGGGCTGTCACTAAAGGTGCCCGTTACATAACTATGGAGAGCACGGTTATTCTGTGTTGCAATTGGTGCCCGTGGTGGTAACGGGGGTGGAGTCAGCAGGCCATTGGCTACAACTGGTCGCTTGGAGGAGGAGCTGAGAGTGGGGCTGTCTGAGCGTACACTGTTGGTGTCGGAGGTCACCGGACTGCTGGGGCCCAAATGTGGAAGCTGGCTGTACAGGAAGCCTGGAAATCCTACAATAAATGTGTTTCATTATAAAACTGATAATCGTGAAGAATATGTTTTCATGTATAAGATATTTTCCCAAAATTTTTTTAAGGTTTAAAACTAGGGATTTGTTTATATAAAAAATGTGTTGACATTTGTTTGTTATTCTATGCTCAAAATATGGGCCGTCTTATACACAGAAAAATACAGGATGTGTGCACAGAAGCACACCTGTGTATATGAAGCATGCACGTGTTGAAAGCAGATGTATTATTGCGCTCTATTTCTGTCATCAACTCTCTGTCTTCACTGCTTGTCTCTGTAGAACCTCTGTATGCAGGGATACTGGACAGATGAGATAGGGGAAAACAAGAGTCAACATCAGAAGTTATATACAGAAACAAGTGAAATACTTCAGTCACATGACAACAATTAGTACTGGATGCATGGGTGTAGCGACAAGTGGTTAGGGAACAGGTCCCGGTTCAATGGTACAATCCGAGACATGGTGTTGGTTCAATGGTACAATCCAAGACATGGTGTCGGTTCAATAGTACAATCCGAGACATGGTCCCGGTTCAATGGTACAATCTGAGACATGGTCCCGGTTCAATGGTACAATCCGAGACATGGTCCCTGTTCAATGGTACAATCCGAGACATGGTCCCGGTTCAATGGTATAATTGAAGACATGGTGTCGGTTCAATGGTTCAGTGTGCTTGATGAGTTTGTGTCCCGGTAACATGGTACAGTGTTTACTGTACCTGCTAACTAAGATCTGGGGCAGGTTCAATCCCCAGATCAGGATTTGTTTCTGACAAGAATAACACTGGGGGTGTCTATGCCACCTTTCCATGGAAACTAACAAGACAGGTCCCAACTTGCAGTGGCCGCTACAACCAAAGACTGAGGCAGAATTGTCTATGAAGAAAAGTTGATGAGAAAAGGAAGTGGTCACCCTACATCATATTCCATTATCTAGCACGTATGAAGGCTAACTAGCAAGGAAATAAAGGTCAAAACTGTGCTGTCATTTAGAAAGAAAACAGGGACTTTTTAGCTAAAATGTTCTAGAAAGTATCTCAGAATACCGCTGACATGAAAACTGGTGGTCAGCCAATAGCTACCCCACAACACAGAGGTGGTCAGCCATAGCTACCCCACTACACAGAAGTGGTCAGCCAATAGCTACCCCACTACACAGAAGTGGTCAGCCAATAGCTACCCCAATGCACAGAGGTGGTCAGCCAATAGCTACCCCACTACACAGAAGTGGTCAGCCAATAGCTACCCCACTACACAGAGGTCAGCCAATAGCTACCCCACAACACAGAAGTGGTCAGCCAATAGCTACCCCACTACACAGAAGTGGTCAGCCAATAGCTACCCCACTACACAGAAGTGGTCAGCCAATAGCTACCCCACTACACAGAAGTGGTCAGCCAATAGCTACCCCACTACACAGAAGTGGTCAGCCAATAGCTACCCCACTACACAGAAGTGGTCAGCCAATAGCTACCCTACTACACAGAGGTGGTCAGCCAATAGCTACCCCACTACACAGAAGTGGTCAGCCAATAGCTACCCTACTACACAGAGGTGGTCAGCCAATAGCTACCCCACTGCACAGAGGTGGTCAGCCAATAGCTACCCCACTACACAGAGGTGGTCAGCCAATAGCTACCCTACTACACAGAGGTGGTCAGCCAATAGCTACCCTACTAGACAGAGGTGGTCAGCCAATAGCTAAGCCACTGCACAGAGGTGGTCAGCCAATAGCTAAGCCACTACACAGAGGTCAGCCAATAGCTACCTCACTACACAGAGGTGGTCAGCCAATAGCTACCTCACTGCACAGAGGTGGTCAGCCGATAGCTAAGCCACTACACAGAGGTCAGCCAATAGCTACCCCACTACACAGAGATGGTCAGCCAATAGCTACCCCACTACACAGAGGTGGTCAGCCAATAGCTACCTCACTGCACAGAGGTGGTCAGCCAATAGCTACCCCACTACACAGAGGTCAGCCAATAGCTACCTCACTGCACAGAGGTGGTCAGCCAATAGCTACCCCACTACACAGAGGTGGTCAGCCAATAGCTATCCCACTACACAGAGGTGGTCAGCCAATAGCTAAGCCACTACACAGAGGTGGTCAGCCAATAGCTACCCCACTACACAGAGGTGGTCAGCCAATAGCTATCCCACTACACAGAGGTGGTCAGCCAATAGCTAAGCCACTACACAGAGGTCAGCCAATAGCTACCCCACTACACAGAGGGGGTCAGCCAATAGCTATCCCACTACACAGAGGTGGTCAGCCAATAGCTACCCCACTGCACAGAGGTGGTCAGCCAATAGCTACCCCACTACACAGAGGTGGTCAGCCAATAGCTAAGCCACTACACAGAGGTGGTCAGCCAATAGCTACCCCACTACACAGAGGTGGTCAGCCAATAGCTACCTCACTGCACAGAGGTGGTCAGCCAATAGCTAAGCCACTACACAGAGGTCAGCCAATAGCTACCCCACTACACAGAGGTGGTCAGCCAATAGCTACCCCACTACACAGAGGTGGTCAGCCAATAGCTACCCCAATGCACAGAGGTGGTCAGCCAATAGCTACCCCAATGCACAGAGGTGGTCAGCCAATAGCTACCCCACTACACAGAGGTGGTCAGCCAATAGCTAAGCCACTACACAGAGGTGGTCAGCCAATAGCTACCCCCCTACACAGAGGTGGTCAGCCAATAGCTACCCCACTACACAGAGGTGGTCAGCCAATAGCTACCCCACTACACAGAGGTGGTCAGCCAATAGCTACCCCACTGCACAGAGGTGGTCAGCCAATAGCTACCCCACTGCACAGAGGTGGTCAGCCAATAGCTACCCCACTGCACAGAGGTGGTCAGCCAATAGCTACCTCACTACACAGAAGTGGTCAGCCAATAGCTACCCCACTACACAGAAGTGGTCAGCCAATAGCTACCTCACTACACAGAAGTGGTCAGCCAATAGCTACCTCACTACACAGAAGTGGTCAGCCAATAGCTACCTCACTACACAGAAGTGGTCAGCCAATAGCTACCTCACTACACAGAGGTGGTCAGCCAATAGCTACCCCACTACACAGAGGTGGTCAGCCAATAGCTACCCCACTGCACAGAGGTGGTCAGCCAATAGCTACCCCTCTGCACAGAGATGGTCAGCCAATAGCTACCTCACTACACAGAGGGGGTCGGCCAATAGCTACCTCACTACACAGAGGTGGTCAGCCAATAGCTACCTCACTACACAGAAGTGGTCAGCCAATAGCTACCCCACTGCACAGAGGTGGTCAGCCAATAGCTACCCCACTGCACAGAGGTGGTCAGCCAATAGCTACCCCACTGCACAGAGGTGGTCAGCCAATAGCTACCTCACTACACAGAAGTGGTCAGCCAATAGCTACCTCACTACACAGAAGTGGTCAGCCAATAGCTACCTCACTACACAGAAGTGGTCAGCCAATAGCTACCTCACTACACAGAAGTGGTCAGCCAATAGCTACCTCACTACACAGAAGTGGTCAGCCAATAGCTACCTCACTACACAGAGGTGGTCAGCCAATAGCTACCCCACTACACAGAGGTGGTCAGCCAATAGCTACCCCACTGCACAGAGGTGGTCAGCCAATAGCTACCCCACTGCACAGAGATGGTCAGCCAATAGCTACCTCACTACACAGAGGGGGTCGGCCAATAGCTACCTCACTACACAGAGGTGGTCAGCCAATAGCTACCTCACTACACAGAAGTGGTCAGCCAATAGCTACCTCACTACACAGAGGTGGTCAGCCAATAGCTACCATACTGCACAGAGGTGGTCTGAAAAACCAGGGTACAGGTTATTAAAAAAAAAAAACAATAATAATAATAATCTGTAATCCGTAATAAACAATGGAAGACAATGAGCATTTCTGCCACATAAAGAGAGACAACTTGTTGTTGAAGGACGTACTGGATGACAAATGATGGATAGGCATGCCACAGGAAGACAGTATCAAGACATGGACTGAAAGAACCATGTATAAGTGTGCCGTTAACATGCAGGGTAGAGACAAGGCAGTCCGACCAGATCCTAGACTAAACCTATGGCTAAGTGGGTCAGCAGAACCCAACTTATTCAAGACTGCAGGGCTTAATGATGGTGACCCACAAGTGGGTCTCAGACCCGATTTCTTGGATTGATAGAAGGACCCACCTTATACAAGACCACTCCAGCACTTGATGATCATGATGATGATGCCATCAACTGGACCTCAGACTCAACCCACTAGATTACGCAGACAGGAAGTACCCGCTTTACACAAGACTCCGTCTTAGACAAGACTATGGCATTTTATGACCTTGACCTCCAGCGTGATCTGGGGCTAAACTCTTGAAATCATATGGATAGGAAGACCCCGCCCTACACAAGACGACAGCACTTGATGATGATATCCCCAGCTGGGTCTCAGATAGATCTCCTTTTACATAGACTCCCAACACGTGATGTTGATTCTCCCCAACTGGGCCTCAGAGAGGGATCGGAAGAATTAGTTGTATACAAGACTCCCAACACGTGATGTTGATTCTCCCCAACTGGGTCTCAGAGAGGGATCGGAAGAATTAGTTGTATACAAGACTCCCAACACGTGATGTTGATTCTCCCCAACTGGGTCTCAGAGAGGGATCGGAAGAATTAGTTGTATACAAGACTCCCAACACGTGATGTTGATTCTCCCCAACTGGGTCTCAGAGAGGGATCGGAAGAATTAGTTGTATACAAGACTCCCAACACGTGATGTTGATTCTCCCCAACTGGGTCTCAAACGGAACCCCCGGTGTAACATGGATTGGAAGATCCCGTCTTACACAAGATCACAGTACTAGATGTAGTTCTCGCAGACTCAGACAGCCACAATGAAGACTGTACTGTACACGCACAATGAAGACTGTACTGTACACGCACAATGAAGACTGTACTGTACACGCACAATGGAGACTGTACTGTACACGCACAATGGAGACTGTACTGTACACGCACAATAAAGACTGTACTGACACGCACAATGAAGACTGTACTGTACACGCAATCGAAGACGTGGCGCTAGATAAGTTATAGCAACACACTTTATCATGTATCCAGAAACAAGAACATGAGCCAGGCAAGCAGACAATAATTGTAGGTCATATATCAAAGACTGTCTTTGTTAGAAACTGAGTTAATATATGCGACGATTCTCCTCTCCTCTGTTGTGAATACGGCTTCTCCCCCTGGGAAGATAGATACAGGCATGTTCCGGGTTGAGGGGCGACCAAGCGTTTAGAATGGTGACGGGAAACCCCCGAAGGGGAAGGGGGGGGGGGGGGTAAGTCCGCTGTAATGTGATGGGGTTTTTAAAAACAAATCTATAACACCTGTGTTTTATAAACACCATAATACAATGAAGCCTGCACCTCACCTTTTGTTAGATGTCTGCAACTGTAGATTAGCGACTGCACCAGCTATGTGACGCTCAATCCTCGTGGGGGGTCATGTGGATCTGGCCAACCCTCAGAGGAAAGACCAATGGATCTGGCCAACCCTCAGAGGAAAGACCAATGGATCTAGCCAACCCTCAGAGGAAAGACCAATGAGGTTCCAGGCTAAACTCCCGGGGTTACGGCTACTGGAGGAACGCTTCTCGGCACGGCACGTGATCAATACAATGAAGTAATAAAAACAGAACAGCAAAACAAGAAAATAACCACAGCAGACATGTTGGGTCAGTTCCACGATAATCTCCCCACGTTACACACTAGCTCACTTATGACTGGTCGACCTACAGTTCACCCGACCTTCGCACATTGTTCGGCAATGCCCTTGCTACCGCGTGTTGTAATTTTAGGCACGCCAACGCTTTTAACACTACAAAAACATTTAGAAGCTGGGTCTAACCCACAACCCCCTAGCAAGCCAGAAAGGAAACAACATAGTTGTAACCCCCAGACAGCAGACAAGTCTAAAAAAATGTATCAATGGAACGTGACCTAGTACGGCTGGGGAGATTATCGTGGAACTAACTGACATGTTGTCCAGGCACCTGGGGGTGGTACCTTGAGTCTCACACACACACACACAGACACACACAGCACATGAGCCCAACTTACCGCCGGCCCCCTTGATGCCTCCACCCAACTTCTCGTCCATGATGTAGAAGAGCAGTCTGAGGGCTGCATTGACACTCTGGTTGCCACTCAGCTGGAGGGCCCGCACGGCAATGTCCTGGGAAACAAGAGCACAACACATCACCACCTCAGTCAATGAGACAACACATCGCCACCTCAGTCAATGAGACAACACCACCTCAGTCAATGAGACAACACCACCTCAGTCAATGAGACAACACCACCTATGTCAATGAGACATTACCACCTCAGTCAATGAGACAACACATCACCACCTCAGTCAATGAGACAACACCACCTCAGTCAATGAGACACCACCTCAGTCAATGAGACAACACAACACCACCTCAGTCAATGAGACAAAACCACCTCAGTCAATGAGACAACACCATCTAAGTCAATGAGACAACACATCACCTCCTCAGTCAATGAGACAACACATCACCAGCTCAGTCAATGAGACAACACATCACCACCTCAGTCAATGAGACAACACATCACCACCTCAGTCAATGAGACAACACCACCTCAGTCAATGAGACAACACATCACCAGCTCAGTCAATGAGACAACACATCACCACCTCAGTCAATGAGACAACACATCACCACTTCAGTTAATGAGACATCACCACCTCAGTCAATGAGACATCACCACCGCAGTCAATGAGACATCACCACCGCAGTCAATGAGACATCACCACCGCAGTCAATGAGACATGACCACCGCAGTCAATGAGACATCACCACCGCAGTCAATGAGACATCACCTCCTCAGTCAATGAGACAACACATCACCTCCTCAGTCAATGAGACAACACATCACCACCTCAGTCAATGAGACAACACATCACCACCTCAGTCAATGAGACAACACATCAACACCTCAGTCAATGAGACAACACATCACCACCTCAGTCAATGAGACAACACCACCTCAGTCAATGAGACAACACATCACCACCTCAGTCAATGAGACAACACATCACCACCTCAGTTAATGAGACAACACCACCTCAGTCAATGAGACAACACATCACCACCTCAGTCAATGAGACAACACATCACCACCTCAGTCAATGAGACAACACATCACCACCTCAGTCAATGAGACAACACATCACCACCTCAGTCAATGAGACAACACATCACCACCTCAGTCAATGAGACAACACATCACCTCCTCAGTCACTGAGACAACACAACACCACCTCAGTCAATGAGACAACACATCACCACCTCAGTCAATGAGACAACACATCACCACCTCAGTCAATGAGACAACATCCACAGACGCAAAATGTTATTTAGTCTAGCTGACAAGCCTCACACAACTCAACGCTCACAGCGAACTTTCACATCGGGCATGTCAAACGTGCGGCCCTCAAACAATGACCCCGCAATCATTTTCATTACCTGACTCCAATTAACTGTCTTTGCAACACAAAACTGACCCACACAGCCCTTGGGGGAAGCACTAGTTTGACATGCCTGTTTTAGACAATATACTGTCTAGTCGCAGAACTAAAACAGAAAGTGGGGTGTCTAGTTCACTGTATCCCAGGATTTAGAACAAATAAAGCACGATCACCAGGATACTAAAGCTTCTTCTTCGCGTTCACCGACTTTCAACTCCGTCGGAAAGTTCTGGTTGTTCGTCCACTTCTGGACTTCATTCTGGTTCCAGAACTTGCATTTCGCGTGCACGTCCGTTTTACGAATGGGACAGAGGAATGACAGGAGAGGAACAAAGTAGGACAAGGCAGTGTATGGAAAGCGTCGCTGAGTACAAGTGTGTACAATATTTGTCTAGGAAAGCAGAAGTCGACCGGTCTGCTGGGTCGATCCGTGGTCTAGTTAGGAGCCCGGAATTCCTCATCGATGACATCAAAGATAAGTCTGTAACGTTGGCAGGCCAGTAACGAAGCTGTGTTTCAAATCCAGGTTGAAATTTGACGAGCGCTGGTTGGCTGATGTCGCATGTGTGCCTATACATGAACATTTCTGCCCCTTGTATTTGTTTGTGTGTGTGTGTGTGTGGGGGGGGGGGATTATGTGTAGGCTATGAAAATAGATCAAAACAAGCAAAAAGTAGAATAGTCAGCTGCACACTATCTCAAACACACACGAGAAGTGAAGGCTGCGGCTAGAAAGACTTTATCAGCACATTACATGAAAAGTTAACGTTATAATGACGAACAGGAAGACATAAAATCATATAAAACGGTAAAACAACAAAGAAAAACAGCAAAGATGAGCTAGATATGCCGACACAGACAGTAGCTGTAGCTATGTGTGGGCTACAGCAGTGTTCTTCAACTTGAGGGGCGCGGAAATGTTCAGGTGAGCCGTCAGAAATGTCTCCCTTATTATGTACCGGTGATCCGATTCACAGCGTGTGAGACTGTATACGTGACAGGTTCTTCCGATGTGCTTACCTCTAAGCTAGAGCACACATCGTTTTACCTGGACATTCCTAATGTAAGCCTCGTATACAACGACGAAACGGCTACGTACATGTGATATTGTGTTTGGTTTGCTATCAGGGAACCATTCTGCATGTAGCCGGTCCGCGGGTGTCAAAACGTTGAAGAACACTGCTGAGTAAACTGCATCGCTGTCTGCCAACACAAGTCAGTTACGCAAGAGTCATAAGCAGGATGTGGCTGCCCACCACCGACACTAAGGAGTGACGACTCTCTCTGATGCACGAGATGGTGTCATACATCAACGTCATCACAGGAGAGAACATCACACCTACCGACACCATAACATCAGAGAAACCTACAACTTATCCACATCATGCCATCAGACATATCGACGTCATTAAATCAGACACACCGACACCAGAGATCAAATACATCATGACATCAGACACACCAAGATCATCACAAACAGGACTGCTTGTCATCACCTGGCATCTGAGATACCCACCTAGTGACATTAAAGAGACTAACACTGTGACATCGGAGATACCCACACCGTGACATCGGAGATACCCACATCCTGACATCGGGAATACCCACATCGTGACATCAGGGATACCCACATCGTGACATCGGAGATACCCACATCGTGACATCGGAGATACCCACATCGTGACATCGGGGATACCCACATCGTGACATCGGGGATACCCACATCGTGACATCGGAGATACCCTCATTCTGACATCGGGGATACCCACATCGTGACATCGGGGATACCAACATCGTGACATCGGAGATACCCCCAATCGTGACATCGGAGATACCCACATCCTGACATCGGGGATACCCACATCGTGACATCGGAGATACCCCCAATCGTGACATCGGAGATACTCATATCATGACATTAAAGAGACCAACACCTGGACATCGGAGATACCCATATCATGACATTAAAGAGACCAACATCGGGTCATCGGAGATACCTATATCACGAAAAAGGGCAGAGACAAAGTGATGGGGCTGATAACAAACAACGTGATCGATAACGAGGCTGTTAGCACCGCCAGAGGTAAACCAGCGTGTCACGGCTGTGAGATAACCATAACGACAAACCTGCCTTGTCAACAGGCAGTGATAGCACGCTCCATTTCCTAGGTCACAGAAATATGAGGTTGCATGTTCGGTTCCCTTCTCCTACCTTTCCGTACACAGCCCTGGGATCAACATTACATTCTCCGTGTGTGTCCCAGCACCCAACTGTAGCGAAGAAAAACGAACAGCCCTCACATGAATGTTTTCAAAGTCGACTATTCAGCAATGTATCCTTCCAAGTCGGAAAGGAGAGAACCTAACTGTGTTCATGCTAATAAAAATAAGACAGATCTGCAACACGCATATGCACGCACACACAAAAATGTTGTTTCTGGAACACGATCAAAGACCTTAAGTGGATAAACAACCACAACTTTCCGCCCGAGTTTGCAACCAGTGAACTCCCAGAAGAAGATTATTACTGGGTGTATGGACACATTCACACAGTCAACTAATAAAGGTTGGTGACCAACAGAAAGTTGGAGAGGGGGGAGAGGCCAAGGGGACCGACAGTAGGAGCTAGACAGTCTGTGGGTGTATGGACACATTCACACAGTCAACTAATAAAGGTTAGTGATCAACAGAAAGTTGGAGAGGGGGAGAGGCCAAGGGGACCGACAGTAGAAGCTAGACAGTCTGGCATGGAAGCACATCAGTATCAGACATGATTGACAGTACAGTGGTATATGATATAATCAAAGAAGTCAGAAAGAAAGAAAGAAAGAAAGAAAGAAAGAAAGAAAGAAAGAAAGAAAGAAAGAAAGAAAGAAAGAAAGAAAGAAAGAAAGAAAGAAAGAAAGAAAGAAAGAAAGAAGAGGAAGAAGAGGAAGAAGAAGAAGAAGAAGAAGAAGAAGAAGAAGAAGAAGAAGAAGAAGAAGAAGAAGAAGAAGAAGAAGAAGAAGAAGAAGAAGAAGAAGAAGAAGAAAAAGAAGAAGAAGAACGTGAAAACGAACAATTGGATTTCTGTGTGGGCTCAACTATATATCCTGACATCCAACATAATTTGCCATTAACTGCCGAATGAGAGAGACCGTGTACAACTCCACTCCACCGTTACAATCAAACAGTCTTATAGAATGCATGTGCAAACTACACACAGACTTTCAATGGAGAAGGTGCACATAACACACGTGGGAATTCCATACCGAGAGGAGAGAGAGAGAGAGACAGAGAGACAGAGAGAAAAACAGCTGCCAAAACTATCAGGCTTATTCATAAGCTGGCATAGTTTCAAGGAAATCTGGGACTTCCCACGAGTAGTCGAGGACTCTCAGGTGGTCCGTCCCTCTTACAGGTTTAGGTTGATGGTGCAGTGCTTCCCACACTGTTACCTCGTGTGTCCTCCTGTCTTACAGGTTTAGGCTAATGGTGCAGTGCTTCCCACACTGTTACCTCGGGTGTCCTCCTGTCTTACAGGTTTAGGCTGATGCTGCAGTGCTTCCCCCACTGTTACCTCGAGTGTCCTCCTGTCTTACAGGTTTAGGCTAATGGTGCAGTGCTTCCCACACTGTTACCTCGGGTGTCCTCCTGTCTTACAGGTTTAGGCTTATGCTGCAGTGCTTCCCACACTGTTACCTCGGGTGTCCTCCTGTCTTACAGGTTTAGGCTGATGCTGCAGTGCTTCCCCCACTGTTACCTCGAGTGTCCTCCTGTCTTACAGGTTTAGGCTAATGGTGCAGTGCTTCCCACACTGTTACCTCGGGTGTCCTCCTGTCTTACAGGTTTAGGCTTATGCTGCAGTGCTTCCCACACTGTTACCTCGGGTGTCCTCCTGTCTTACAGGTTTAGGCTAATGGTGCAGTGCTTCCCACACTGTTACCTCGGGTGTCCTCCTGTCTTACAGGTTTAGGCTAATGGTGCAGTGCTTCCCACACTGTTACCTCGGGTGTCCTCCTGTCTTACAGGTTTAGGCTAATGGTGCAGTGCTTCCCACACTGTTACCTCGGGTGTCCTCCTGTCTTACAGGTTTAGGCTAATGGTGCAGTGCTTCCCACACTGTTACCTCGGGTGTCCTCCTGTCTTACAGGTTTAGGCTAATGGTGCAGTGCTTCCCACACTGTTACCTCGAGTGTCCTCCTGTCTTACAGGTTTAGGCTGATGATGCAGTGCTTCCCACACTGTTACCTCGGGTGTCCTCCTGTCTTACAGGTTTAGGCTAATGGTGCAGTGCTTTCCACACTGTTACCTCGGGTGTCCTCCTGTCTTACAGGTTTAGGCTAATGATGCAGTGCTTTCCACACTGTTACCTCGGGTGTCCTCCTGTCTTACAGGTTTAGGCTGATGATGCAGTGCTTCCCACACTGTTACCTGGGGTGTCCTCCTGTCTTACAGGTTTAGGCTGATGATGCAGTGCTTCCCACACTGTTACCTCGGGTGTCCCCCTGTCTTACAGGTTTACGCTCGGGTGCCCTGTATGAGGATCACGAGATAATCACTGTTGTCTTCCTAGCGTTCACCAGCTGTAAACTCTGGTGCAAAGTTCCGGTTAATTGTTAACTTCTGGACTTTGATCTTGTTTCAGAACTTCAGCTTTCCGTGCACATCCGTTTTACTGATTTGGCTGAGTTGAAAGCAGACAGGTGGTTTCTCACGTCTCAGGCAGATACACTCAAACGTCGAAGGAAACTCTCTCTAATAAGTCGCTTACTACGACCTGCATGTTAGGTACAAGTGGTCTAACCACCACCCCCTCTCCAAACATGGATGATGTGGTCACTATAATTATGCATTTTCGCACCATTGGGGCATCGGACACGTCATTCATTTAAAGTTTTAAGTAGCTCTGTGGGCCATTCGATGCGTGATGCAGTCCACCGAATCATCTTTACTTCTCCCACCTTTTTCCTGGTACTCACTTGAGATTGGGATCGCCAAAAATGTTTATATCCACCACGATGCGAATTGGGAATTCTCAAGAGCTATATAAACGTATCCTGATATATAGAACTAAATTATGGACAGTTGGACTTCTTCTGTTGTCTACACACTGTTACAAGGTTGTAGCCCAGTCTCGTGTTTTTTTTTTTTCTCTCATTAATGCCAGGTTGTAGCCCAGTGTCGTGGTTTTGTCGTCTCACTGATACCAGGCAGTAGCCCAGTGTCGTCGTTTAGTCATCTCATGGATCCCTGTTTGTAGCCCAGTGTCGTCTCACTGATACCCGGTTATAGTCCAGTACATTCCATGACCCGACATGTGCTAACTGCAGCAGACGTGTGAGTGTGTCGCTGCCCCCAACCACACAATGGCCAGTACATTCCATGACCCGACATGTGCTAACTGCAGCAGACGAGTGAGTGTGTCGTTGCCCCCAACCACACAATGGCCAGTGAAGAATGCGCTAATGTAGGCCGTGTGTCGGTGCGTCAGGCCAGACTTCCCGTATTACCCTCCATGATGCAGGTGTCAAGTTTTCAGAAAGGCGCTAGTGCGCAACGGTCGGGCTGAAGAAGAACATAACCACATAAACTGCGTAGATGTTGGTCTTATAGAGGAATGACCGGAACACCATAGCCAGATTCAAATACGTCATGAAAATGTTATGCTAAAAATAAGATAAGATAAAATCCAACATTTGGTGAAGATATCTATAAAAATATGTCGTATAACATCTTAATGAATGTGTTTTGGAAAACAAAAACATGGAGGTGAAGAAACAGCCAATGAATGTGAAGAAGAAGAAGAAGAAGAAACTGTATTCCTTACCCTTAAGCCATATAGCCATCACCGTGACCAGGAAATATCAGTCTTCAAGAAGACATTGGGAATTCCGACACATGAAATATATTTGCTATGTGTACATTAACAAGGAGTCCTGTAATCTCCATATCTGTGTTCTGCTTTTGTAACTGCTCATCAATATCTGAGAATTTACCATTCAAAACAGCAGGATGCACTCCCCCCCCCCCCTCTCTTGATCTGTTTTCAAGTTCGTTCGGGTCTCAGTCTCACACGTGTATGAATACATGTATATGTAAGTATGTGTACATCAGATATTAAGTCTGTGTGTGTCATTGTAAGTATGTAAGTATATAAAAATAAACACATACAGTAAAGGAAATATGAGGACGCTTAGAATGAAGACCTTAAAAGCGTGACAGAAATGACAATAAATATGGCAGTCTTGTAACCTGTCAATATTGGTGTTCAGGACTGATGTGATATCATGCTCCAGAGGAACACTGTAATGTCATAATGACAGTTTAAAGATGGTCATCCCACTTTTTGACATGTATGTAATTTAGTTCACTACTGCCAACTGTTTCACCTATGACTTAATTCTTGATTGTATTTCTTGCGGTCAGACTTGCAATCTTTTTCAAACATCTGACTTGCATGGGTGGTGATTTATGTCACAGGCGTGAGGGAAAGTTAAGTCCAACATGATGTGTATAAGGAGATACTCCGTACGTCACTCGGGTGCCAGTCCTTCACTGTTCTGGTTGTACGGAACCTCACGCAAGACCCCTGCAGCACGTCCTCGTCGTGCGCCACGGAAAATGTCTCAAATGAGCATTAACAGAGCTGTCAGGGGATCTCGGAGTTTGGCGGCCCCCAGAGGTGATGTGTCCATGTGGCTCTCATCAGCCCGCCCCCAAACGCTTGGGTGAAAAAGGTTATAAAACTCATTAGGAACATGAGTATGCTTGCCAAACGTAAAGCTAAAATCACAACCCTTGGTTAAAAGATTGCGAAGTGAAGAGAACATTGTTCACTGCACATCCTCTGTTAACCCTCAGTGTCGTCGTCACCGCGCTGAGGTACACCACAACAGCAACCATCCATAGGCTGGCCATCCATGTACATCCTCGGTTAACCCTCTTGTGTCATCGTCACCGCGCTCAGGTACACCACAAAAGCAACAGCCCACTGGCTGGCTAAGCCTAAATGTCCGACAAAACTAGATCCTACGGCACACGAATAAGCTCAAAATCTGACCATCACAATTTGTATTGAACGGAAAAAGAACAAATGTCCACACCCAAAGACCCCACTCGCCCGAGTGTTGGGACCAAACTGATAACGATATGCCTGACGCAGGATGAAAAATTCTGTCGGGCTAACAACTCGTCAAAGAAATCTAACGTGCGAAGAAAAAAGAAAGTACCTATTCGGGTGGTCACAAAAGTCCAAAACCCACGAGCTGCTCCCCGCTGACTTCCAGAGGGCGCAGCCCTCGTCGAGCGGGATGCCTAATACGGTTGTGAGGTTAAGCAGGCATATGCAGGACGTGACGATTCCTTGGGTGAGCCCAGAACCAGAGCGCCATGTGCCGGCTCTGCATACATGGAAGCCTCCTTGGATGGCGGGGAATGCCCATGATCTGCCCCTGCCTTCCCTTGAGAGCTAACCGTTCCACAGGGGGCTGCCCCAAAGGGGTACTCCGGGGGCAATACCTGCGGGGAAGGAGACAAAGTGGATACCACACAAAACAATGGCCACAGTCATCCTAGTAATAGGCCTGACGTCTTCCTTCGAAGTCGGAGTACAGCTGCCCATGAGGCAGGGAACTGTAAAACGGTTGTACACGCAAAAATCAGGTCCAGGTGAAAGCCAAAAGTCCAAGCGGACGATTAACCTTTACCTTCCGCCGGAATTCACAGCCGGTGAACGATTTAAAAAAACAAAAAATAACTGTCTTTTTGTGATAAGTGGCTAGAGCAGCGGTTACAAGGTCGGGCTCACCATGCAGGAGTCTCGGGTTTGAGCCCTTGTAAACTGATAGTTTTTCTCTGTCAGGGGAAAAATTCAACATCTTAATCTGCCCAACTGTGGCCACAGCACTAGCCATGCGCCCCTAAATCCTCAGACTCATGCCCTCCCCCCTACACCACCATAAAAAGTGGTCAAACAGATAGTTTACTAATTATCTTTTAAAGTTGTTGTGAGTCGTCATGTCGGGCATTCATAGATAGTTTTTGGTCATATTTTAGAGGGGCTTGGGAGCTGAGAGCTCTAAGCTACAATTTTAAGCCCAAGGTCTTCAGAGCCACAGGCTAGAATCCTGCCACTGTGCCACAGAAACTCCCATACAACAAAGACAGAACATATAATTACCTCATCAAATCCAAACTGCATGATCTGCTCTACTTTGCCAGAACTACTATCAGCATCATTTGTAGCACGTGAACTGGTTGAACTAGCACTACTACTGCTGTTGTCTGCACTGCTGCCTCCGCTACCACCTCCCGCTCCACCACCGGTTACACTGCTCACATTCTGATAGGGTCTTAAACTATCTCGAATTTCTGCCAGCGCCTTGTGGTGCTGGTTGTCTCTTCGGGTCACCTTATTGCCGGCCGACTTCTCCAACAGGTTTGGCGTGCTCTGCGACAGCTCAGGCCGCAGCTGGAGGTTCGACATGGGGCTACTTCCATCCAGGTCATGCTTGCGAAGATGGCTAAGACTATCGCGAATTTCATTCAACATAAGCCGGTTGTTTCCGACAAAAGTCACCAGCAGTGGCCTCCTGCCACCTGTGCTTGGTCTATCGGTTTCCTTTCGGATCATAGGTACTAGTCGCAACCAAACTACGAAAGTCAGTATATAAGTAGGTCGATACTTGTAATGAACGCAAATATCGTCGTCCTGTGTATTGCTTCATTGAACTTGTTTCTTGCAAGTGAAAATGTGAAGAGTTAACTTCTAGAATATCTACCATCAACTACTGATGGTATCTCTTCACAAATCACCTTCACATGGCTTGTTTAAACCTTCATCTGGAATCTGGGAGTCTCTTAATGACATCCAATGGATTTTCGAAATGAATCATCATATATCCATGAATTTGGACAACACAGTAATCCAGTGATGTTAATCCTTTCACAAAGGTGTAATCCAACCTAGACAATAATGGAGAAAGAGAGAAATTAGAAGGTGATATGAATGTGATTGTAACTGTGCAGTTCAGTTGTACACCAGATTTCATACAGCAGTTAGTGGCCAAATTTAACTAATGAGCACAGTCTCTCTTCTTCTCCTCCTTTTGTTGTTTTTGTTGTTCTTTCTTTCAGCACATTTAAGGATGCTTAGGTTTAGATTTACGTGTGACCAGCAAAGGGTTATGTATGAGGGCACAATGTCTTTATAAAGCTATGTGTTTACTACTCCTCGTTGGCTCCCTGTGTGGGTAGAGGTAGGAGTGCTTCTGTTTGGCACAAACCCGAAACCCACTTTCTAAAGTCGGCACTTCATCAGTGTACACCAAGACATTAGGCATTTACGAACGTAGAGACAGTAGACAAAGTGACCGAGTGGTGTACAGAAAAGAGGGCTGTCGTCCACCTGGAAAAGGGGTCTGTTTTGTGGTATTCTCTGGACAACAGGATCGTTCAAACTAATGTTCCAAGTCTCATGATAGATGGTAGAAACATCAACAGAGAGAGCAAACTGAAGTATCTGGAAATTACATTTGACAGGAGTCTGTCCTTTCAGGACCATGTGGAGAGTGTTGTGACGGGATGCCAAAAAGGACTTGGTGCTCTTAAGACTATGGCTGCAATTGACATAGACCAGAGAATGCTTTTCACACTATATCAGCACCTGATCCTATCAATGGTTGATTATGGACTGGGAATGCTTACCGTCTCAAAGAGTCAGATGGACAAACTAGAGCGCATACAAAGGGCAGCTATGCGGGTCATTCTGGGTTGCACCAGAGACACCCCAATGGTGTGTATGCGATACATCCTTGGTTTGCTGACTGTTGCAGGTAGGCACAACGTGCTGCAGGCCAAGTCATATCTCAGGGTAGCTGCAGACACAGACCACCCTTTGCACGAAGCTCTGGGTGCAGTTAAGGGTCAGCGGCTGATAAGAGGGAAGTCATGGATGGTTCAGGCAGAAGACACAATCAGACAGGTTTGCATCCTTGAGGCAAGGAGAGGAGTGGGTCAAATGTCACCTGAACAGTCAGACGTGTAGGGTCTGAGCCAGGAATGCAGAGACTGGCCAGAAGGTGCCACAGAGGTGGAAATTTAGCAATTAATTCAAGATAATGATCGCTCAGAGGATCTGATCATTTACATAGACGGTTCAGTGTCAAGAGGCAAAAGAAGTGCTTGGGGTTTCTCAGCAAAAGTTAATGGACAACGTTTGGTGCAGGAGAGCCTAGCATATGATACCACAACATCCAGCTTAAGAATGGAGGTGGAGGCGGTCACTGCAGCTTTCCGCTAGCTAGAGAACACGACACACACACATCGTGATTGTAACTGACTCAGAAAGCATGCTGAGGAAGATCAGAACAGGCATGCTTCCTGTATAGTGGCATGCTTCGCTGTGGAAGACTCAGGTGAGAAGTATTGTCTGGATTTTTTCACTAGGATTCGCCGGTGTGTTGGGAAATGAACAGGTGGACAGACTGGCTGGCTTTGAACAACTTGGTGGAATACTGATGCATGATAGGGCAGACGTGGTTAGTGCCAGTGGGAGAGTGTGTACAGTTCGGAGGAGCAGATGGATCACCACAGTCTGATGCAGGAGGATTGGGGGGGGAGGGAGTGACAGAGGTTCTGGCAGATGCTCGAGGCTCATAGAAAAGGCAAGACGACTTTAAATCAGAAAGTTACTGGCAATATTAGTATCGAAACTCTTCGCTGGCTGCTGAAGAATGCTCTGATGAGTGCTGTTATGTCGGTTCTTGAATCAAAAACCCTAACACAAAACTAACACTTTTATGAGATAAATCTAGAAAGTAGAACTAAAAAACACAATTTGCACTGAAATTAATTCTTCTTTTCTTCTTCGCATTCACCATCTGTACACTCTGGCGGAAAGTTCTGGTTGCTCGTCCACTACTGAACTGCAGTCCTGATCCAGAACCTGAGTGTTGCATGCGCATCAGTTTTACAGACCTCATTCTCTTGAATATACAGACTGTTGGTTCCTTGCCTCTGGCAGATGCACTCCGACTTCAAAGGAAGCTTCCCAATTAGTCGACTCTTACGACATGCTTTTGGGGAGGCAGTGGGTCTATTCTTGTTTTCCCCATAATGGGGGTAACTTACTCAATAATTAAAATGGCCAGACTAAGTAACAACCGACAAGGTAAACAATGGTTGACTGGCGCCCGGACTGTAACCGTACCCAAACCACCAACATCTCTACAACACAGGGTGTGTATGTCTTGCCACAAATCTACTATGGACACACACACTAGCGCCGGCTAGGCAATCGACGTCTCTCCGTAATTTCAAAAAGCAGAGAGTGAGAGTCGTTCTCCTTCCACCTTCTTCTGTACCAAGTAAGTCTACTACACGACAGTTCATTACACACCACATAATTTCAAAGAATTCTCACCAAAACTCATGTGATCTTGCACTAGAAGTTACAACAAGAAAAATCGATAAAAATCGCTTATGAATGTACACGACAATCTCAGCTACACACCCCAGACATTTGTTAAAGGTATGCGACCTTCTGTAAATGCTCCGTAAGCAAGCACTCCACGGCTCCGCCATGTTGCTTCTTTCTCTCAGGGCTTCTTCACTCACACACAAACTTTCCACCGGACTTGTATCACACGTCGATTGATAAACGGAATCTCGTGAGTGTAAGTGTCATGACAGCAGTATTATTAAGTTATTAGGGTGAAAATAAACACAGAAAATCGTATAACTTACTAGAAATTAAATCCAAATACTAGCGAATCGGACTCCCGTATCCTAACACCATGAAGGAAACTTTACCTGTGAGAGGGGTGTCAGACGTCTACGTAGAAACGGGAAATTTTTAATGAAAGATTTAGAAACTAAGTTATGTATTTTTAATAATTCATGATTTAAAAAGTAAGTTTTTCTTTGATGTTAATGTAATGTTTTGTTTATATATACGTTTATAAGTTTGTTGTAAAGCGCTAATTAGAAGGTATATGAGGCTGCGACCCCCGGGGATGAGGCGGCCCACTTTCAAGCTGTGCATTCCAGGTTCGCTGATGATTGACAGAGGCCCCGCCCCCAGGGACATTGTTGACATTCCACGGAGATCAAGTGTTATCTGTTGTATCTGCCTGGACAGGGGCTTCTCTCTCTGTGGGACCCGGGGTTGTGGGGAGCCGTAATCGCCCCAGCCGCGTGGCTAGAAGAAGGCAAGGCATGAGGAGAAGATGACAGAAAGGGGTCATGTGCTATTTGATGTCTCTGCGTGGACAGGGGCTTCTCTCTCTGTGGGACCCGGGGTTGTGGGGAGCTATGATCGCCCCCAGCCGCGTGGCTAGAAGAATGCAAGGCATGAGGAGAAGATGACAGAAAGGGGTCATGTGCTATCTGTTGTCTTTGCCTGGACAGGGGCTTCTCTCTCTGTGGGACCCGGGGTTGTGGGGAGCTATGATCGCCCCAGCCGCGTGGCTAGAAGAATGCAAGGCATGAGGAGAAGATGACAGAAAGGGGTCATGTGCTATCTGTTGTCTTTGCCTGGACAGGGGCTTCTCTCTCTGTGGGACAAAGTATGTAGTACTTTACCTCAATATGTAGAAGATAAAAATAATCTGTTATCTATTGTTTGCGGCTGGAGTGGAACTTACATCTGTAAGGCCTGAGGTTGCTGGGAGACGTGATCGCTGCAGCCAGTTGGCCAGAGACAAAAAATGATGAAAAATAAAGGGGGGAGGCGAAACGTGTTTGTGTGTTATCTTGTGTCTGCCACAGGCAGGGGATTCCTTTTTTGTGTTGTGTGTGTGTGTGTGTAGACCAGAACTGGAACCAGACATACAGGTAATTAAACAGATCTGATCTTACTCGGACTCGGACTCTTCTTTTTTGTCGTCCAGGAGCTGTAAATTCCGGTAAAAAGTTCTGATTGCTCGTCCCTTTCTGGACTTTGACCTTGTTCCAGAACTTGAGTTTAGCGTGCACATCCGTTTTATAGATCTGGCTTATTTATACTGGAATGACATGGCAACAACTATCACAGAGTCACGCTAGACACACACACACACAAAAATGAACGTAAAACAAGGGAAATACTGCGCAAAATATGGAACGATGGCATCAAGAATAATTACGTGTACAACTACTGATTGGTTGTAACTGTTGCTCCCATCGATGCTGGGCTGCAATGCAATTCTAGTGGCGGACTTTTTATGCTGCCACTTCTGTCGGCTGCCTTGTGCATTTAATGCGTGTGTTTGCTTGTTTGCTTCGTCAATGCTGCAGCCGTTTATGTAATGCCGGGAATTGTGGGGAAGAGGTCCTGGTAAGATGGCACAGAATATAACAGAATGGGTGAATAGACAACCAGCTCTGTGTCTTCTTCTTCTTCTTCGATCCTTCTGTCAGAAAACTCATATCAGGAGGCCGGTAGCCTTTATGAAAGCTATCGTGCAATCCATATCCTCTCGTGTACCATACAGATTTGTCTTCAGTGTGGTTGGAACAGGCCAGATTGCGTCTCTGTTGTCAGCATATAGTTGACAGTGTTGGAGCACATGCTCAGCATTTTCGGGTGCCACGCTGCAGGGACACGTCTCCGTATTTCCTACACCGAAAAATTTGAACATATGTTGACGAAAT